CCCTCCTCCTGGGCACCCTGGGAGTCCTGGGAGCCCCCACCAACAGTGCTCTCCTCCCCCACCCACCCAAATGATCCCAAGGAACAGAGAGAGGAGGTTTTGCTTAGGAAGAGCTGAAAAACTGAATTCGTTCCTCCTTTCCACACCATCCAGCGCAGGGAGGGAAATCTACCCGGAGACCCCCTCACTCTCACCCCAACGGTCTCAAATGCACCCTTGGCCCCCCTCGACCCGGGGCGGAAAGGAGAAGAGCCCGCGGTGGAAAGAAAGGGAGTTGGGATCCAACTCGGGGTTAGGGACCCCCTGGTCTACCCAGTGGGGGGAAGAAGGAAAAAAAAAAAAACATCGTTCAAGCTGGATGAGAGAGGCTGCCACTCAGCCACCACCAGCCCCCCAAAACGGTCTCTTGACACCCCCCCCCCTTTTCAACGGGGGGGGGATACGTAGGATGCAGCAAGCCCCCTCACTTCCTCCCCCCCCCCCACTGGGGGGGCCCCCCCCCCCCCGCCGGAGAAGGGGAACCCCGGTGGGGGGGGGAGGGCAGCCTCGTCCCACCCTCCCAATTGGGCAGATGCCCCCAGCCCTCCAAAACCGACACTCTTTAAGGAGAGCCACAGCAGCAGGGATGCCCTCCCCCCCCACACACACACCCCTCCCTCTCGGCTCCCCCCTGCCATTTATCTCCCTCCCCCTCCCCTTCTGCGACCCCTCCCCCCTAAACCTTCCGGCCAGAGGGAGAAATAAAAAGAAATAAAAAGAGAGGAAGGTGCGGGGTGGGGTGGGTGTCTTACCTGGGAAGGCCAGGCTCGCCAAACACACGCCAGTAGTCCACCAGCCCCGGAGCCAGCCCAGCTGCTGCGTTGGCCCGGCCATCGGAACCTCTTTTCCCCCGGTCGGAGGCGGCTGGGGGGGCGGGGAGGAGGGCGAAGTTAATTGGGGTCGAGGCGCCGATGGGGCATCAAGGGGATCCGCGCCAGGGACCCCTCCCCTTCTTCGTCTCCTTGGCCGAGGGGCAGAAGGGGGAGGGAGGGAGGGCGAGCAGACCAGCCCTCGGGACTCGCCCGCAGACACGGCCCCCTCCTCGGGCAGGGGCAGCGCCCACCCGACCCTTTGCCCGGCGGGGGTGGATCTGGGAGGGATCTGGAGGGTCGATCCTCGGCTTCCCCGCCTCTGGCTGCTCCGTCCGAGGGGAATCTGGGGGGTGGGGATCTGAATGGATCTGGAAGTCGATCCTCAGCCGGCTTCGCTTTGGCTGGTTCCCAGCGGGGTGGATCTGGGGGGATCGAGAGGGTCGATCCTCTGGCTGCTCCGTCCGATCCGGCAGGGAAGAGATCGGAGGGATCTGGGGGGGTCGGCCCTCGGCCGGCTTCGCTCTGGCTGCTCCCGGCGGGGGTGGATGGTGGAGGGATCCGAGGGTCAATCAATCAATCAATCAATCAATCAGAAGAAGAGCTGGAAGGGACCTTGGAGGTCCTCTAGTCGAATCCTCGGCTTCCTCGCTCCGGCTGACTCCGACCGATCGCTTCGTCCGTCTCAGCCCAGCCCAGCCCCGGGCGCTGGGAAGCGTCTCACCTCGGCTGGCGGCGCCCAAGCATCGCCCGCGGGGCGGTGGGGAAAGAGATGCGCGCCGGGCAGCCAGACGGAGGGGAGGATCGCGGCGGGAGTCCCGGGGGAGGGCTTCCTCCTCCTCGGCTACAATCCCGGCCCTTTCGCCCTCTCCGGGAGGGGAGCCCGGCCGGCTAAGCGCTGCTGCGCTGCGGCTGCTCGGCGGGCCTCGGCGGGGCGCGCAGGGAGACCCCCATCCAGGGCTGGCGGGCGGGCGGAGGACGAATCCCGGCGGTCGGAGCAGCAGCAGCAGCCGGGCGGCGCAAACCTCAGCCGCTTCCCGCAGCGGAGCTTCGAGTTCGGCCGGGCGGAGCAGAGAGCGGGAGCGCGCCTGGAGCCCACGGTCGGGCACGCGCAACGCCAGCGGCAGCGGAGGCAACGGCGGCAGCAGAAGCAGCAGCAGCGCGAAGCTCGCCCGGTCCCAGCTTCGGACCTCTGGCCCCGCCCCCTCCGCCCCGCCCCTCCTGGCGGTGACGTCACGGCTTGTCAAGGCGCCGGGCGGGGCCTTCCGAGTTAACCCGCTCCTGGACGGAGGGGCGCGTGCGCGGTGCGAGGGGCGCGCGAGGCTCCCCAATTTGGGAGGCGGGGGAGGGTTTGGATGAGTTGCGCCCTTCCCCGCAGTCCGGCTTGATTGACTGGCGGGCTGGTTGCCTTCCCTTTTGTCCTTCCTTCCTTCCTCTCTTTCAACTTCCTTCTTTCTCTCTCTTTCCATTCCTTCCCTCCCTCTTTCACGCTCTAGTCCTTCTTTCCTGGAATGATGTGTCCCTCAACAAGACCACAATCCCTGCTGCCTCCCTAGGGAGAGTCAAAAACGATTAGATCGCTCACTCGCCCAAGGTCAACAAATTGGCAAAGGGTAGGATAGGATAGGATAGCAAAGGATAGGGTAGGATAGGCGAGAAGAAGGGAAGAAAAGAAGAGAAGAGGGGGAAAGGAAAGAGAAGGAAGGGGAGAGGGGAGGGGAGGGGAAAAAGAAGGAAGGGAAGAAGAGGGAAAGGGAGGGAGAGGAAAGAGAAGAGGGGAAAAGGGGAAGGGAAGGAGAGAGAAGAGGAGAGAAGAGAGGGAAAAAGAAGGAAGGGGAGGGGAAAGGGAAGGAGAGGAAAGAGAAGAGGAGAAAAGGGGGGAAGGGAAGGAGAGGGAAGAGGAGAGGAGAGAAGAGGGAAAAAGAAGGAAGGGGGAAAGGGAAGGAGAGGAAAGAGGAGAAAAAGGGGGAAGGGAAGGAGAGGGGGAAAAGGGAAGGAGAGGGAAGAGAAGAGGGAAAAAGAAGGAAGGGGAGGGGAAAGGGAAGGAGAAGAAAGAGAAGAGGAGAAAAGGGGGAAGGGAAGGAGAGGAAAGAGAAGAGGAGAAAAGGGGGGAAGGGAAGGAGAGGGAAGAGGAGAGGAGAGAAGAGGGAAAAAGAAGGAAGGGGGAAAGGGAAGGAGAGGAAAGAGGAGAAAAAGGGGGAAGGGAAGGAGAGGGGGAAAAGGGAAGGAGAGGGAAGAGAAGAGGGAAAAAGAAGGAAGGGGAGG